GGCTGTGGGGTGAGAGGAAGGGTGTCTTGGGGTTGGGTTGAGGTGGGTACGTGACAGGGGTGCTGAGGGCGAGGGAGACTTGGGTCTGTAGCTAGGCACCGTGGAGGTGTTGAGGCTTTGGGAGCTGGGGTGGTCCTGGGGTGCCTGCGAGAAGGGAGCCTGTGTGCAGGTGGCAGCTGCCAAGCTAGGCAAGGATTTCCTTCGTTGGAAGGGGGCTTTGGCCCTGCCAGGGGCTCTGCCTTCAAGGGCTCTTCTTCCTTCCTGTCCCCTCATCCCCCCCGATCTGTGCGTGTGGGAGAGCGAGCTCGGGGTTGCTGGTGTTCGCTCTCCTGGGGAGCATCACCACTAAACCGGAGGGAAGAGACAAAGGACTCTCCTGCTCTCCTGGGCAGGCACACACGGCTGGGGCCGAGCGAGCGGCAGCTTGAGCTGGGTGGGAGTGGGTGTCATGGTTTTGTCTGGGGTTTGAGTCAGGGAGAAGGCGTGCATGGCCTGGCTGCGCAGTCCCTATCCGGAGGATGTGTATGTGCTCTTCCCAGGTGTTGTGCAACCTGTGTAGCTGTTTTCTTCCTCTTTCTCTTCCTCCTCCACTACAAGCTCTCTACATCCTGTTGCTGGCAGGGTGGGGATGCTCCCAGGGTGAGTCAGCCCAACGGTCAGCTGTGCCTGAGAAGCTGGGTGGTTTGTTTTTCCTGTGGAGCAGTGGCAGGCAAGTCTGATGCTTCAGAGTCAGGTTTTATCTCTTCACTGGAATGGAGTCTTTTTCCGTAGCCTCTTTTGGCCCTCAGCTTGGGGCTCCTTGAACTCTCATGCTCTCAGCAGCTCATGCTCCTGTTTTGTGCCTGAGGGCTTCCAGAGTCAGCGCTGTTCTGTGGCAGCAGATGAGACTTTCTGTGTAAGAGGAGAGGGAAGGGGCCGAGTCCTCTTCTAGCTCGTGATAACATTGGCCTGTTCGTGTACGGCAAAGCAGGGTTGCTTTCTGAGCCCCCCTTGGGAACGCTTTGCCTCTGGCTGGTTTTGTTCTGATCCGCTCTGACACAACAAAGGGGATTATTCTGTGAAGTTCAGCTGTTTGGCCAGAGCCCAGCGCAGGGCCGCGTGTTGCTGCGTGTGTTCTGCCCTGGGCTGCCTGAAGCTCCATGCACGCACCAAACGCATCCAGCCCTGGCCGCCGCCTTGTTTTTCCTTTTTTCCACCCCTCATCCTGCGCCGCAGAGTGGTCAGACAAAGGGACAGCCTGGGAGGCAAGAGGGAAACGCGTGCAGGGACGGACCTGCTGCGGTCAGGGGCTCCTTGGGCTCGCAGTAAGATCGGCTTGTGCCGGGGACAGATCCTGCAGGGTTGGAGGGGGTCGGAGAGCAGAGGCCTTGGGACCCAGGATGGAGTTGGGGTTGGTCAGGGAGGATGAGGACAGATGTGTCTCTGCCTTCTACGCTAATCTTTTAACGGCTGCAAGCTGACGACTGAGTTTGGCAGCGCTGCCTATTGTCAAGGCTGTAATTCCAGAATTGTCCGAAGCCTCGTTTGCAGTTACCCTCCTGAATGGGGCCCACGCCAGGCTCGTTCCACAGGTGAACAGTGATCCCGGGTCACTGTCCCCCGCTGCTGGGCAGAGCTGAGGTAGTTAGCACTGTTGCTTCACAGATCCGACATCTAAATTCTTGTGTATGTGAACTGAGGGAGCAAGAAATGTTCAGGGAGTTGTTGTGCATTTTAAATCTTCACCGTTTTTTGTTTGTTTTGGCCATTGGCTTTTTTGGGAGCAGTGGCTGAATCTCAATCTGGAAGTTTGCTTCCAGAGCCTAGAAACACCTGAAAGCCAAAACAGTCTCCACAGGTTGTGCAGTAGCATGGAAAGCTGTCCCCATCCTCGTGGGGTGCCTGGCACTGGTGGGCTGGGGCAGCAGCTCTCTGGGGAGGATGAGGATGTTGCTGTACGTCTCCATGCTGCCCCAGGCTTCGCCTTCTCGCTCAGAGGCCGACAGCGGGCCTGTCTTTTCGGCTTGCCTTAACCCCTGGGCTTCTGTGGCCATCACCCGTAGAAGAGGCCAGTGGCGGGATGGTTGTCTCTGCTGGCGCTGGAGTTGTGGACTGTGGTGTGATCTTCATGTGCTTTTATTTTTAGCACTTGAGCTACATGCTGCGGCCAGTTTTGACTTGGTCTCTTTTTTTCAGTGGTGACGGGCTATTTTTAGAGATTTGGTGTGTTAATCGGAGCACTGAGCACCTGATGCTTCCTTCCCTGTAAGCTCTGAAGGGTAAACAGCCTTTTCTCCGGTGGCGCAGCCGTCGCGTGTCCCTGGCAGCAGTCTGGCTCTGGTGTGTTCAGGCGTGCAGCTCGAGCTCGGCCCCGTCTGTTTTCCCAGCAGCAGCGGGCTTGGCTCCATTGCGGTTCCCACTTGGGATGCATGGCCCTGCCGGTGCCACTGGCAGCTCCGCCGTCCCTTTGTCTGAAAACTCTTTATGGGGGTGGTTGTGCTTTGCTGTTGAGGCAAACCTGTCCTGAACGCTTCCTGCCAACTTCAGTGTTGTTTTTCCTCCTGCTCTGGCCAACGGCACGCTGCCCTTGTGTGGAGAGCACCGGGTTAGCATGGGTGGGTGCTGGTGGAGAAGAGGTTACGGGGCAGGATGGCGGTGGCAGAGCTGCCACAGCTCACAGGACCTTTCCCTCGCCTTCCCCTGCATGGTGGCAGGGCGGCCACGCTGCTGGTGTCCTGCCTGTGGAGCCGGTGGGCGTGGAGGCTCTGTCTCTGCAGGAGCACAGTTAGACTTGGCAGAGGTTCCTTTTTGCTGGTGGTGTCAGGAGATCTGTGGTTTCCTTCCCTTCTCACAAGCTGATGCTCTCATTTTTCCTTATTGTTTCCTTGCAGGCTCGTCTCCGTTTTCCCATTGACTACCCCTATTCTCCTCCTGCCTTTAGGTTCTTAACCAAAATGTGGCACCCCAACATCTACGAGGTAGGTTGCCTGGGACAGCGTGGGGGGGTCTTGGACAGGTGGGGGGCGCACATGCCCGTCTGTTGCGATGGTGGTGGATGAAGATGCCAGCCTTTGTCACGAGCGCGCAGTGGAAACTCTGTGCCTTTGGTGTTTAGTGCCTGGCACTGGAAATGCAGCTAACGAGCTTACGACAGCCTGTGTCCTGTCCTGGGGCTGGTTCCAGGTCAACCAGGCTTGAAGGCTCCCACGCTTGGCTAGCGGGATGGCGTTCTGATGCCAAGGGTGGATGCAGAGCGAGTGACGGACCTGGCCCCGGGGCTGCGTGCTTGCGGTGGGGTGCTGCTGGGGAGGCGTGTGGGGCTGGGCTGTGTCAGGCTGGCACCGGGAGGGCTGCGCTGGTCATGCAGCATATGGTGATCCTGTGCTGCCCCGGCCGTCGCAGGGGGCTTATCCAAGGCTGCAGGCAGCACAGCAGGGACCACCACTTTGCTGTCCCTTCCTAGGAACAAAAAGAGGGCTGGGATTGCCTTGCCTGGCTTAAGCCAAAGTGAAGAGCAAACGGGGTACTGGAATAGAGGGCAGAGCTGGTGTTTGGGGCAGCAGCTCCTAAAGATCGCATTTCACTTCTTTCAGACCGGCGATGTCTGCATCTCCATCCTGCACCCGCCAGTGGACGACCCGCAGAGCGGGGAGCTGCCATCGGAACGGTGGAACCCCACCCAGAACGTGCGGTGAGGGCTGCGCGGGCAGGGAGCTGTGGGCCTGAGGCTTGTCTAAGGGCAGGGATGGGAAAGTGGGGAGATGGAGATTGCCTTCTGCTCCCAAAGCCTGTGGGAGGTGCCTAGGTGCTGTTGAAAGGCAGCATCCAGCACTCGGGCTGTGTGCTTTGCTGAAGAACAGCTAGAGCTTGCCTAGGAACATGCGTGAGCCCTGCTGTCCCCTGCCCAGCCTGCTCGACTTCCCTGAGATGCACTAGGCTTTCCCCTGACCTACGGGACGCAGCAGTGGTTGCTGACCTGCCTCGGCTCTTACCTGCTTGTGTTTCTTGCTTGCCAGGACCATTCTCCTGAGTGTGATCTCGCTACTGAATGAGCCCAACACGTTTTCTCCAGCCAACGTGGATGCCTCTGTGATGTACCGCAAGTGGAAGGAAAGCAAAGGGAAGGACCGGGAGTACACGGACATCATCAGGTGTGTGCTGAGCTGAGCCCAGGCCTGGCAGTGCTGTGGCACCGTCGAGAAAACTTGCTAAACTGTGGCCTCGTAGGACGTGGGGTGTGAGAGGGGAAGGGATGTGTTGCTGGACGTCCCCCTGGGGTGAGCTGCATGCAGGTGGGTGCACTGTGCAAAGCTCCATCCTCACCCTTCTCATCCTCCAGGAAGCAAGTCTTGGGCACGAAGGTGGACGCTGAGCGGGACGGCGTGAAGGTCCCCACCACGCTGGCAGAGTACTGTGTGAAGACCAAGACTCCAGCCCCAGATGAGGGCTCGGACCTCTTCTATGATGACTATTACGAGGATGATGAGATGGAGGAGGAAGCAGACAGCTGTTATGGTGATGAGGATGACTCCGGCAATGAGGAATCTTGATGGTCCTCTGGCATTGCAAAACTTACTATGAACTACTGAATTTTACCTCAACTAGGACAAACTGGTTTGAATTAGGATCTGTCAGCCCTGAAATTAACTCTCTACCTCGCAGGGAGACTATTCTGCTGTTGCAAAGGAAATCCCACCGCTGTCTTTGTAGAAAAAGCATAAAACAAAACCCCTATTTTGTAAAATTCCTGGGTGGGGGTGGGTGGGGAGGGGGAAGTTGTGTTGGGGCGTTCAGGAATCCACAGAACCCGGGGAGCTGGTGGCTCTGGCTGGGTGAGAAGTGATGGCACGACCTGGTGGTGGCTGCCCATCCATTGGGCACGGTGAGCTCCTCTTCAGCCCGGTACGGGGGGGGTGGGCAGTGATTTGGGGAGGCTGTGGACCCAGTGAGCAGTCGCTTTGGGTGGGAAGCGTGTGAAGCCTTTGCGGTGTCTGAGCAGGAAGGGCTGTGGGGTGAGCGCTGCTGCCCTCAGCCCCCAGTGGGGCTGTCCCTGGTAGGACCCTTCCCGTGGTGCTGGAGCCATGTCTGCCGGGAGCAGGAAGGGCCGGGGCATCGGGCAGGACATGCCTGGCACTGCTGGGCCTGGGGATATGGTTGGTTGTAGTTTTTAACTAGCTGGGAGGGACGAGGTAGTTCTGAGTCTGCTTCTGGTTTTGGTTTTGGGTTTTGCCTTTTTTTTTTTTTGAAACTATTTAATAAAGTACTTCCAGGGAAGAGCTGTGTGGTGTGTGGGTGAGTCTCTGCCCTGGTCTATGCCTAGACTGCAGGGGTTTCCATGTCAGCTATGGGCTGGCTCCTGCCCTGCAGCACTGGCAGGGAGCGGTGGGTGGGTTAGCTGCTCTCCCAGGGCTGTGGGTGGGGGCTGCAGGGCGGCCTTGGGCCTCCAGCAACCCTCTTCCCTCCTCCCCAAACTTGCAGAGCGAGCAGAAGTGTCTGTCCAGGGTTGCCTTTGGTTTGGAGAGCATCCCTGCCCTTCCTGGGGAGCGCATGGCACTCGCTGCCTCTGCCCCAGAGCCGGGGCCAACACTCAGTCTCTGCCTGGGCAGGATGGGCTCTGCTGAGCCCTGAAAACCCTCCAGCACTGCGCTGCGAAGGTGTTTTTCCCTCCTGCTCACCCGAGACCAGCTGTGTGGCACAGGCCCCTCTGCAGGCAGCAGACCTGCCTGGGCAGCACCCGGCTGTGCAGAGCAGTGGCCGATGGGTGCCCAGGGCCCTCGTGGGCTGCTCTGATCTGGGTGCAGCTGGGTGTGCCCCGAGCCCACAGGCCGGGACCAGCCAGGACGTGTGAGCTCCCAGCCGCCCTGCTCCAACCGTACAGCCAAGGGCACTGTGGGTGCCTTGACCGGCTGCGCTGGGGAGATCAGCTCCACCACTGGCTCCTCTGGGATGTGGCAGGGATGTGACCTGGCAAACCTCTGCCCTGGGCTTCCCCAGGCCCCTGCTCCCACCCCCTGGGCAAAGCGTGTTGGAGGGGTAAGAAGCAAAACTTCCCCTGCCTGGAGTTGTGCAAAGGGGATCAGGATTTGAGTGATGCCTGGGACGGCACGTGGCAAATGCACGTGCTTTGTTGCCTTAGGAAATGAGGCTAAAAGGTGAATAGGATTATTGTCACTTTACTCAGGCCTGGCAAACAGCTTCCAAGGTCACCCAGCTGGCTCGGAGCAGCAGCAGCTCTGGCTGTTGTTTCAAAGCCAGCCCCCCTTCCTTTTTCCCAGGAGGCTGCTCCGTGTGGCCCCCACCCTGGCTGGTCCCTGGCCACAGACATTTCCACCGAATCACCATGCCCCCGTACACCCTGCCTTCACTGGGTCCTTGCGGCCGGTTACCTCCCCACTGCTGCAGGTGATGGGGTCCCGCTCCCTACGGCCCTGTGAGCTGCTCCTGGGGTGTCTGGGAGCGCCCCAACCTTGGCCCTGCAGAACCGGGCAGCTTCCCTGCTGCTC